CTAAAATTAGTTGTCGTTGAACAGTAATCATCCTTAAAAGTCCAAATAATTCATACAAATTGAGAGTATTCAAATCATGGAAAATTAAAACTTCCTAGGTAGGATCATATACCATATTGGAGTAAGCATCCCTTGTTGACCGGTAACATCAGCTATGAGCTGTGATATTTTAGTTCGATATTAACAAAATTAAAATTTTCTTCTTCCATCAAAAGCAGATAACTTTTCAAAACATAACAAGCGTTCGTGTGAATTAGGTTCATTTTGCTTTCATCGTTATCGAGCAATGTATTTTAACTAATTTAAAATGATTGAAAATTGAACCAATGAAAACATCAGATCTAAGTGGCCACAAAAAGGGATTTATATCATGAATTCTGTCAAAGTTTGTGCTGGACGTAGGGTTAAATATGAAGAGGAAGACCTGAACACGTTGTCAAAAGGAATTTAATGCTTGAAGAATAGAATTGTATAAGAAATTGGCACCGGATGCCACCTCTGATGTTTCGGAGGTCCGTGTATGCTCTGCTCCTGTTTTGTATTGTTTTATGGACTTTGATTTTGAATACTGTTCTTTATCTCCATATTATTCATTTAGAAAGAAATAGCTGTAAACAAACCTTTTATCCTTCCGTTTTCACTACAGTGAAGGCGATATTTAAAAAGTCACATTTATAAAACAATATACTATGATTCCAGACGATAAGGCTTGTTAAAAAGAAAAAGTGTCATTGTTTGCAAGGTCATTATTATAACTGCATTCTAGAACTTAATTTTATTTCTGGAAATGTATACGAATAAGACAAGAGCTGTGGGATGATAATGACTGGATGTCAGAATTGTTTTTCTCTAGAAATCTGCAATTATAACTTATTGTAAAACCAACCCTACTTAGGAAAGTATCCTGAAAATCTTTTGATACCGGTTCTTTATGGGGAAGGGGAAGGGGAACTAATTTCTCTTACACATTTTTTGTAGAATAATCAGCAGTAAATTAATTTCCTTAAAACATTTCAATAATTAGTTAATTTACACACTCTCGTAAAATCTATACTTTTTAAAATCTTACTTTTAATTATATAATAAAGAAAACATTGTATCCTATAAATAGGCCTAACTACAAAATATTAATTTTGTTCCGCTTTTATCAACTCAGTCTCGTAGAGCGTATAATAAACTGTTCTCGTCTATTCATTTATACTTTTTTTATTTATACTGGCCTATCAAACAAAGTTAACTTTTGTGATGCATATTATTTCACCTTTGTAAGTAAACCACAATATATTGCAGTTTTGTTTTTTTTTTTCCGAAGAAGAAAGTAACTAACTTGGATTGATCATCTACTTTTGCGTGATCATTGATATATATTTACATTTGCTGTGTATTTTTACTAAGCCAACTGTGAAATTGATTTGAAAGTCATTTTTGTGTATACTCACGCGTAGAAATATACACGGAGAAACGTGCGTTAACGTGATTTCACAATGAGGCTGCATCGACGTTAGTTAAAATGAAGCGATATAGGGCAGCGACAAATTCAATATTTAATATATTTTAGTTGCTTCCAAACATGTAAAATGTAAATATAAGGAATGTTTTTAAGTTTAGTGTGAATTATTGGTGTGTGAATCACACAGACTTGCACGTAGGCATATTTTACATGAAGCGCTAGCGCGCTTCATTAAATATGCCTACGTGACAAGTCTGTGTGATTCACTTAAGAAATAAAGTCCGCGTTTTCGTGAATGTTGCAGAATAACCTCTGAGGTCAAGAAATGTTGTTTGAAAGATAAAAGCCGAGGCGCTAGACGAGGCTTTTATATTTCAAACAGCATTTCGAGACCGAGGAGGTTATTCTGCAGCATTCACGACAACAAGGACTTTATTTCTATTCTTCCACGTATGGTACAAACGCTTAATTAAGGATAATCGTTTCCTCTATAGAGAAACGAATTAGGTCACCATGTCTCGATTACACGGTTTCATTTAACACCAGAAGTAAAATTTGTTTGCTTACCTGTATATAGAATGCAGACGATTTAAGCTTTCGTTACCTTAAAAATAGAATTTTTAAATGTTATAAATATGTTCATAATATGTATTGATAAGTTAAAATGATTATACAATAACAAAATAGTGTTCCTGTTTTACTGCTAAAATCACGTTGTTTAATGTGTAGGGAGGTCCGTGGAATAGCCCCGCTTAGCTATAAAAACCGATATTCATCAGCAACTTGATGCAATTTACAGTGTTTATAATGCAAAATACGACACATCGATGCGGTCTAAACATGTATTTCATTCTACAACCAAACATGCATTTGAATTATTCAGATTTGATACGTGTTTCTGATCTGATAATTTTTTTATGACGTTCGTGATTTATTGGAGAATAATGTCCGGCGGTATCCTTTGATGTTTTGAATAATCGTGGTAGAATCACCAATAATTCACACAAAACTTAAAAACATTCCTTAAGTGTACCGTGTACACTACGTCAACATCAACGTCATAATGGGGTAAAATGACGTAATATTGAATTGAAGGGATTTTTTACGCATTCTTTTTATCCAAACAGAACAGAGATATGTCTTTGAACAGAAATATATGTACTTCTATCTAAAAAGTAATAACAAGTACCTGTTCATTTCTTGCTGAAAATCGTTTGTAAATCGAACGTAAAATCGGATCGTGTGACCACTCGACCAATCAACTCCATCCGACTTACCTGAGCGAGTCGAATGAAAATCGGATGAAAAATCTCATCGTGTGACTTGCACCAACCTGAGAGATTAGGGCTAGTCCTTGCACTAGTATTCGACTGATTAGGGTTAGTGTAGCATCTGCCCGGGAGATCTCGTCTAAACGTCTTAGTCCCCGCATACCATCCGATGAATTAGGGTTAGTAACTCTCTCTTTTACATAAGTTAAGTAATTCAGGTGTTTTTGAATTTTTCCAAGATCATATAATTCAGCTTTCAAGACATTTCGTTCGTTTGTTTACATGGAAGAATGGCTAAGTCCGAAAGAAATGTCACTAAGCATGCGCCGCACGCTCTTCGATCAGAATTATGCATTGACAATTTCTTCCATGAATAAACAGTATTTATTAATTCTTTTCAGAGAACATGGTTAAAAACTACGTTTAATAACTTTTTACGGTAGAATTCAATTTTGGGATCAAAAAGGCAAAAAAAAAAAACCCAACTCGTATTTAATTTTTTTTTTCGATCGCTCAGGCGGTCTCATATATAGTGAAGTCGCCTTCGGCGACACTACTTTTTAGCGCGTTTTTCTGGGGACCGGTAAAGTAAAGTCGTTCCCATTTTTTTTTTTTAAAAAAGGCAACATGCTTAAGAAACAAACGACAAACTTAATTAACAAATGACAAACTTGATTTATAGAACATAAAAGGAATTCTTTATAGCGATGTTCATCTCTTGTTCATTCTTTTCTAATCAGAATTAGAAAGATATGACACTTAACATTATTAACATTTGTTATTTTTATATATTGTTCCAACTATTTGATTGGCTAAAACTAGATCACATGATCAAGTATAAAAAGTGTTATAGACTGGATGTTTCTATTTTTAAAAACCTGCTGTTTCTAAAATTGGAAACTTTCTTCTGTGAAGCAAGCGTCTCCCCAACACAACACTCATTCATCATATTTCGTGAGTGATAGAGATGCTATTTGTGCCGTGTTGTCAATCAACAAAGGTGGCAGAGGATGGTTTCCGATTATGTGTATGGAATAATATCCAATGAGTAATGTTAACAGGATAAAGAAGTAATATGTGATAAAAGATGACACTCGATATAATTTCTCTGTTTTTTTTTATTTTTAAGGACAGATGATACAAACCAACTTTTGTCAAAAATTTTGTAAATAACAACATGGGTAATGTTTTAAGGAATAGAATAAAAGAAGAGTTTCAACACGTTGTTTTCAGGTTTTTTTTTAATTCAAATTTGCAAATAAATGGAATTTGAAGTAAAAAAAAATGTATAGGATAATAAGGATGTTTTAGAAGGTAGAATTTTAAACATCACAAAAAGTTTAAATTTCTTTATATTCTTGGAAATTAATATAAGCATCATTTACAATGAAATTAAGTCAAGAATACATACCAATCCAGTCATCCATTTTTTGTTTGCATCATCAGTCCTTATATAAACCCTATTTCTCATCTCTGAGATTAAAAGAAATGAAAGCCAATAAATATAGTATTTATACTTTAATTTACTTAGATAAATCATGGCATCACAAACTTTATTTACAAATAAAAAAAATAATTTACAAATAAATGATAAGGGTTTCTTTATATATTGTCAAAGAAACCCAGACAAATTCCCACTTTCTAAATAATAAACCATACCACATTTTAATATCATACTAGAAATAAAAAAATCCCTTGATTTTGATTTTTCTCACAGCAATGTCTTTTTTATGCAAAATTTTGAGCAATATTCGATAATAACAGAATATGTTTGACACTCTTTTAAACTACCTCAGAACTACAGAAACTATGAATACAATTTCATATGATAGTGTGTAGTCTACATAAAGATTCTCTTAAGGAGGCTAGTAGGTCAACTAATTGATTTTTAATTAACCACCAGATTTAACTCAAATTTTGGGATTTGATATCTTAATCTGTCAACTATCATTTGGCAAAGAAAATTTTCATAAATTTTAGCTTTGAAATTTGATCATGTATGGAGCTTTTCTTCTAATGGAGATCAAAATAGTCTAAAAATGGCCACGACCAACCAGCCTTTTTAACTGGCTGTTGTGTCCGTTGGCATGCATCCAAGAAACGAGCACAAAGTTGGCATTTTATTAAATTGTTTCTCTTGTTGCCTTGTTTTTATGGCCAGTGTGCTAAACACAGCCAATTCTTACGTCAGTTTTGAAAATATTACGTCATGAAAATTACAAAGTGACATCACAACAATTTTAGCACTTTTTCAGTGATATTAAACTCGATTATTTCCACTAAAGGGTTAATATTTCAAACAACATTTCTCGGAGTTTTACAAGTGCGTCTATAATTCTCATCAATGCAGCGATTTGTATATAGTTCTGTGTTTCTTGTCTAAAAGATTGTTCGTAAGAGTACAGAGCAGATTGATAGTTCCCCGTCACCTGTTGACAGATCCCTAGAACCTGCCAGGATATATCTCTGTGATATGCATGAGTGCTCACCCCCTGATCATTGTGGACCAGGTTCTGTAGGACATTTAGAACTGTTCCTGCGCTCACTGGATCTCCATGCCTATAACACAAGATCTCTAACATGTGTATGAACACATAGAGTGGGATTAATAATTCAGATTGCTTACAACGTGACCCAGACTGTTGTTCTGGCACCAATTCATTGATGTAAAAAATTGCATTTTCAAATTCAATATCATATGCCACAGCATGTTTCATCTTTGTAGACCAGGATTGTCTCCATATGGTTTCTCTTAGGATGTACATCTTTGCATTTATATCTTTATTTAAGATATACATTACGTATGGCTGTGCTAACTTGACCTTTGCCATCTCTATAACCGATAATGCTTCGTTATATCTAAGGATCTTGTAGTTAAACATTGCAATGTATAATAAATCAGAAATACATCCAAACTTTGCTGCTAATTTCAGCATATGACTGGATGCTTTATAAGCCAGATACACCTGTTTGTTTACAATTGAACTTGTATATCCCTTGAATGGTGCAAAAACGGTTAAGTTGTATAACATATAGGCAGTTTTCTGAAGTATAGTGACTGCAAGCTTCTGTAACATGAGAATCTGATATTGACTTAGGGGAGAAAATATCAACTTTTCTACAGCATTAAAGAACCTCATACATTTATTTAGATCTATTGTTGGTAGACTCCTGCCATACAACTCATCAAATAGATCTATTTCAAACAAAACCTTGGAGATCAGAATGTGTTCATTTTGAAGGCCACTGGGCATGGAACATTGAATTTGAATCAGTGATACTAAACCCTTCTCAAAAAATTTATGAAGTGTAAGGAATAAATTCGTTTGTGCTTCACCATGGATATTACTCAGAAACATGTTGTTTTCTGGAATGAAAAAGTTTGGACATACCCCCTCATACACCCATTTAAGGATAATTTTAAAACAGATCCAGAAACACTCCAGGATATTTTGTGGATGCCAATGAGACACTGTGTTTTGTTGAATTGCCCAGAAAACTGCTGTCTTCATGTGATAGGAACAAAGACATTTATCTTCCTCTCTTAATTCCTTGTTTATGCATTCTTTTAAAAATAATTTAAGCATCCCATACGTTAAGAATTGACAATGGTTTATTGAATATATAAGTTTTTGATCTGCCAACGAGAAAGAAATTCTCCATTCTTTGTCTGCGTGCTTCCCTAGTTTGTGTCCTATTGCTACAAAGTGGCATCCATTTCTGACTATGTCCTCAACAACATAAGATGGGGGCCATGAGTGACATCGGTCTATCCATTTGGAGGCAGGAGGGGGCCAAAAGTCAGAGACAAAACATTGGGCATGGTCATACTCTGCTCCCATTATAACACCACTACCACACGGACCATGCTCCTTAAACGTTGGAATAGAAACTGAACATTTGATCTGTCTATATTTGGAACTGGATATATAGAGTCTTTTGTTTATTCTCATACATGCATTTTTAACACTTTCCTGGTGTGTTGGTGTTAGTAATTCAAGTAAAGCAAATCCTGGTTGACTATCAGAACAATCACAGAGAATCAATGTATTTCTATATAAGTCGTAATTCTGAGCCATATCTAAGTCCCATATTACTGTGTGGTCATTTGGCCAGAGCATTACGTCCACATCAGATCCCTCTAGCCTGAATCCTTCTCTATAACTCCCACTAGTCATCATCGTTACTCTTTTAGTCGTCGTCACTTGATTCAATATCACGTCCATGATGTCTGCCATCTCTCTCCTCATGATCACCATGTGTGAGAACCCCACTATGTGACACATTTCCACAAACACAGACTCTGATAGGTGCTGCATACCCAAGTCCCTGGACAAAATATGATTATTATAAATGTGTCAAAGTATAAGTATCAGAGAAGCAGTTTGAAATTTCATAATTAATGAGTGCAAGTTATATCAAGTTTCGTAATGTATATAAACCATAACTGATAATCATAATCAAATTGTGAAATAGTTATTTGTAGAAAATGAAGAAACAGGTGCTAGTGTGCATTGTGTTCAAGTATGGCATTACCATTTGCGGGAATCATTTTAATATCACTTAATGTCATTTTGTAAAAAATAATACAATATCATAAAGTATAATAATTTCTATAGCACATAATATTATAGACACTCTAGTGCACTAACATTAAAATACGAACAAACATACAATATAGAGAACAAACTACTTAAAGGTATATATATGCGTGTGCTTAAAAAATAAAGGATAACTTAAATACTTTTTATACTAAAATACAATGAGGGATATGGAGATAACGAACAGTATTCTATATCAAAGTAAATTTTAAAAATACAAAATAGGAGCAAAGAAAAAAGGGACATTTAAATCAGAAGAGATGGGAGATGGGAACTTCTCAAGGAGAAGTGCCGAGCGATAACGCCTGGCGTGTTCCCTCCGTCATGATAGGGAAATAACGGGAAAATCCGTCGTCAATTCAGTGTATAAATAATGGACTAACAATAAGTATGAAAAACGTCAGTCAGCATTTGACCCAATGATAAATTGTATTTGTTGACAAGGTATTTGTATCGACCACAGAACTTACGAAATGATGACTTTAAACATGACTGCTAATATTCTTATTAGTCAATGGTATACCTCTAATTCAAATACAGTTTGATTATCGGGAATATTAAAAATATTGAACACTGATATATAATTTAGGAGAAATTTCTGCTTTAAAAGGAAACCCTTTGTTGGATGACTTCTTACAAAAATAGATCCAAGATTCCCTAAAAAAATACAATTAAACTAATGACTTTTGCGTACAAAGACTGTGTTGTTACCCGTTTTGTCAGCAAAACAGTGCACACTAGTCGTGTAATATCAAATTCGATTTTCACTGATTAAATTTAGTTATTAAAGACAGAAAGATAGCTGGTTTTTATATAGTCCATTAGTCATTGCAAGATTTCAACATCAAGCATCGATGTCTTCCTTTTCATGCCTGGCTCATCGCCTGGCGTAATCTTCCACAAAATGCATATATTTTATAACAATATGATATCAGATGAAAGAAAAAAGTTCCCAAAGTGTCTGCCTTTTTTATTTAAGAGATTTAATGTCCTCATATTTACCTATATTTAGAAAAGTTGTAATGAGGTTTCCAGCAGGACTATAGTTGTAGAGTCAAGAAGAAAATGACAATGTAGGAGAAGTATATTTATGATGTTTAATATTTAGACATTGTAGAGTTTTTTGGTAATCAAAAGGTTTTGAAGCAGTAATCGATGTATATTTATAAGACGTACAAATTGTAGACTTCAACTAAACATGTTGGAATATATGACTGGACCCTTTTACGATTAAGCATAATATGAATATTCACAGAGTCATTGCTTTTGGTGACAAATGAAAGTTGAAGGAAAAACATGTTGCTTGAGGACCAGTTTAACAAGTCTATGATTTGCAATATTTATATCTGTATACTGTTTACATGTACATGGAAATTTTTGCCCTTGTCTTATTTTCCCAGCTTTCGCTCTCTTACTGATTGGGCGAATTTAAAACAGCGTGAATTCAAATTACACAGCATAGTTTCTTAAACAAAACTATGACTGGGCGAATTTAAAACAAAATACTTCGCAAATGTTAAAGGGCGAAAATAACACAGTTCGAGAATAACCCTGGATACAGCAAATGCATATTTGTCACGTAACCAATGGAAAAAACAATGTATGAAATAATTAATTTTAGGAACCTCGAAAATTACATAATCTTGAATCTTGTGAAATACGGACAAATACTTGCTAGTTCTTTTAAACAACGCATTTATTTATGAGTATTGCTTCTACTTACAGCCAAGTAGGGGTAGCCATGATCAAGTATTTCCTGTAAATTCGTAGATTCTAGCAAAGGGAAGAAATTCATTTGAACAGTTTCAATTTTGTAAATATATAGTAAAATTCAATTTATATTGTATATGAACACAACAGTTTTGTTCATAATGTCCTTATGTAACACTGTACTTAAACGTTAGATGCAAATTTCGTACATATGTGGTGGCGCAGTGATTAGACAAAGTAGCCCTGGATTTGAGTCGGGTTATGTCGCTAAAACTCTACTTAATCATAATAAATTATTTCACTCTCATGGTGCAGCTTATCAACGTAGGGGATAAATTGTTCCTGACACCGGTAAATAAAGCGTTAATATTAATGCGGTACACGGGGTAAATTATGAACATTTTACGTGGAAGACAATAAACAGTATATCTAAACAGAGGAATAAACATGTTTGACTCTCCTGTTTATGTATCATCTAGATGGCCTACCTTAAAATTTAGCTCCAAAGCATACTGCAGTACTTTATGGTTCTATGTGTTAAGAGTGATCAGTTTGGATACATTTTGTCCCCTTATATTCTAGAGGATTGCCAAAAATAAACTTTGAAAAGCATCAAGTAGAATATTTTTATATGTTTATAATTTCAAAGAAAGATGTCTCATAAGAAAGTCATTGATACTTTTTGGGGTTATAAAGGATGCTTTGAAACACTACTTATATAGGGAACCCCGATTCTTCAACTTTCGTCGGAATTATATAAATATCATCGATTCCGTTTAAGATTACGCCAGGCGATGGGCGGGAAATGAAAAGAAGACATTGAAACTTTTTTTAGAATGGGTTAAATGTATCAGATCCATGATGATATTGGATATTGAAAGATTGAGGGGTAATATGAAAACATCTATCGTTCTGGATTTAATAATCCAGGAGCGAAAAAAACTAGATTGATTACATGATCAGTACGTACTGGTCCCTACTGACAAAACTTGTAATAACATTGTCTTTGTTTGTAAGGCTCATTTAGGCTGGTTTGCTTCGTGCCAATATTAGACCTTTGTTTTATACTGAAATTACAAGAGTCTCATCGTCGCCCGCGTGGCGCAGTGGTTAGAGCTTCTGCTCTAGAGTCGCGAAGTAAGGAGTCAATCCTTACGTCGCGGGTTCGAATCCCACAGTGGGACGTGGAGACCGGTCCTTCGGATGAGACCGTATAAACCGAGGCCCCGTGTCGCAGTAGGTGCTGACACGAAAAAGATCCCTCACTGCTCAGTGGCCCTGAGTGCCGAGTATAGAACAAAATTTGCAGCTCTCCACCGGCAAGTGGTGGCGTCTCCATATGAGTGAAAAATTCTCGAGAGGGACGTTAAACAATATACAATCAATCAAGAGTCTCATGGGGCGTGTGGCTGGTAAACAGGAGATGCACCTGATCTCATCTCTAGAATTTCCAGGGATCTGTGTTTTGTGTCTTCTTCACATACTTATACTGTTTATAGAGTTTTGAGATCTATCATTGTTCGTGATCGTCACCTTTTACATCACAAAAGAATGTATCATGTTTACCAGAGCATTTAATGTTTCAATTAACTTAATATGTCTATATAACGTGTAAATTTTAGAATTATAGTGAATTCGAACCTGTGTGTCCAATTATGAAGGAGGGTACATTTTGAGGCAACCAATTAAGTGCAGGTATTACTGTCTCACGACAGCATCTAGTTATGAATATATTCATTTTTCCATCAAGGCATGTATATTTATTTTCAAAGATATGTTTTAACAGAGAGAGAGAAAGAGAGAGAGAGAGAGATTACTGATCACCAAGAGGTTATGATCCTAATAGATATGAAATTAACGGTGGTGTTATCCTAGCTATAACCTTGCATATTCTCGGTTATTTTTTTAAATACTGAGGTTATTTTTGGAAAATTAACCAAAATATACAAGTAATACATATAAATTTTAGAATAATGAAGAAGTGGAAAATACTGATAAAATATTTTATCTTAAAAGGAAGAAAAACGACAGAAATAGAGAAATGCTAAACGTAATCTTTTTTCATGAATCCGCCAAACCATGGGCAAACCCAAGATAAGGGTAAAGGGAAAAAGAAATAGGAAATATATCTTATCCGAATATCTTTTTCAAATTTCCAGTGTTTGCTTTTGTTGATCATAATTAAATATAGCATTTTATGAAATTTACCTGACAATTTTACACAAAGATAAAGAACATTATGTCGAAACATAAATGATACATCCATGTACCAACTATTTCTGGAATTTATACATAAAATTCTAAAGCAATGTAAAAAATTTTTAAAATGCTCGTTTTGATGTTATATATACAGACACGCTGAAGAAACGCAACACCCTACTTATGGGAGAAATAATTATGTAAAGTAAAGAATTTTGTAATTTAAACTTATGAATATCTTCAATTTAGTAAACATCGGTAATTTTTTAAGCGTTGTGGATACCCTTATTTTCTTTTCTTAATGATGAAATATGTTGAAATTATAAACAGTATTCGAGCTCAAAAGTCCATCAAACATTACAAATTAGGAGCAGAGAAAACACGGACCTCCAAAACATTAGATGTAGGATGAGTTGCCCTGGAGGAGTGTGCATACCCTGCTGATATATTCTCTTTATCATGTGTGAAATTAAAATACGAGGGGTGATCAAAAAGTTCGTGAACTATCTATATATCTACAAATCACCATTCAGATTAAGATGAAATTCGGTACACACATAGCCATACACAATGTCTATAAAAAGCATATTCTGAATTAAGTTTTTCTCCTTGTTTGTGACGTCACAATGTGAAAATGACGTCAATATTTAGGTCACTTGTGAAGAAAAATAGTTGTCTCTGTCGAACTTGTTCAATAAACGACTGTACAATTTATTGTATATCTTAGAGATCCCTCTACAGTACATGTATCATATAATAATTTGTACACAGTTTATTAAGATAAATGATCTCCTATAAATTCAATTAATGATTGGATTGATCGATTTATTGAAGGAAGGCAGATGGTTAAAAATGATACTTGTCATCTTGCCCATTGAAAGCAAGTTTGAAAAGATATGGGTTTTTAATCAAGCGATTTGGTATCAGAGACCTCCAATTTACACTTTGAAAAATAGTTGAATATCTGAACAATAGTATAATTATTCAATACCTAGGATATTGTTTACTTTTGATTTTAAACATATAAGATATGATAAAAAGGAGGCACCAATTCTCTATCCACCTTGAAGAAAGGTCTCTCACGAGATAAAGTTTTAATTGTTTTTTAAAGATCGCCATGCTTATATTTAGAAAGGATAGTCCTATTCACCTTTTCTGTTGCCGAGATTTGACCATGTCTGACAAATGAACTGTTCTCGTCATGAAAATTAACTGACATGGAAAGAAATATGACACTCAGAAAAATCTTTCATTTTTTGTAACAGAACGCTACGGAGGGGGTCACGTGACCGCCAATATCACATGATTCACGCATGCGCAAAACGATGGCTAATGTGCATTCAAATCGTAGAGGATTAATTTTGAAAATAATCAGCATTGAAACCATTTTTTGTTTCTTCTATGGAAGTTATTCAATTAGTTTGCGAACTTTTTGATCACCCCTCGTATAAGTGAAAGAGACAGTATTAACTGATTTATAGAGAGAAATCAGTATTTTTAAATTTAAGTAATAAACAATAAACAATAAATTTAATAAACAAACATGAAACTTGATTAAAAACACTACAAACTTAATCTTTAAAAAAAAATGATTTCCTTCTAATTTTGTACATAGTAGGCTGTAATAGGATCCCCCCATAACCCTTCCTATCTCTTTTGAAATGACGACCAATGAAACATTCAAACACTACACTGAAAATTTAAGTTCCATGATTTCCTGTATTCTCATCAATGTAGCAGTTTGTATGCTGAATTAAAACATTGCTGTGACGTCATGCCTTTGTTCTTGCAGTCTAAAAATTTACCTGTAGCCGTCCGATAATAATAATTACCAGTCTGATAATATATTATCGGACGGCAATGATAACAAAATCGGACGGTATTTAAAAAACAAAAAGAAGAGTGAAATTAAGGTTAAATTTGTCCAGAACCCCCCAATAAGAATGTTAGGAAAAAAAAATTCAGGGAAAGCAAACGCAAGGAAATTAAGTTGCTACAAAATAGCAAATCCATGAAAAAATAAATCCGAGTTTAAGCCTTCCACAACATTAATACTTTCCACTCTTTAAAAGAATTTTTGATACAGCACTTTGAATAAGCAAATTTAAATCCATTTCTGAGAAAGAGTCTGCAAATCTCCTTATTTTTTTTGTTTGTTCCACGATGGCCACACTTTTAAAACCTGAGAATATTTCCATTATCTAAACTAAAACTTCAGGGTAAAAAATCTGCATTTTTACTTTCCATGGTGATGGTTACAATATCCCGAAAAATTATATCGGTATCAATGTCAATTTATGCACATTATATATAAAAATGCCCCCCCCCCCCCGAAAAAAAAAATCTTTCACCACCTGCCCCCTGTCCTGCTAAACTAAACGACTGCCAATGAATGACTGAAATGAAACATAAGTTCACTCACTATTTTTACTGTCTCATTTCTTTTATAATGGATGCCTAAACACCCATTGTGTTATTATCGGACTCCTCAAGGTAACGTTTGGACATTTAAATGGCAATGTTTTAAGTAAGATATATGCCTCATACTATTCTATATGTAAAATTATCAGACAGATTTCGGCCCTAACGGGCCTCAAACTGTCTGATAATTTTACATATAGAACAGTATTCGGCATATATCCATTACATATCTTTGTTGTTTGAGAGATTGTTGATAGGAGTACAGAGCAGCTTGGAGGTTCCCTCCCTGTCACCTGTTGACAGATCCCTAGAATCTGTCAGGATATGTCTCTGAGACGTATATCTATATACTCCCCCTGATCATAGTGGACCAGGACCTGTAGCTCATTAAGAGCTGTTTCTGCTCTCACTGGGTCTACATGTCTGTAACACAAGACCTCTAACATGTGCATGAAAACATAGAGTGGGATAAGTAATACAGGGTATCCACTCTGTAACCCAGACTGTTGTTCTGGCACTAATTCATATATGTAACTGATTTTATTTCGAAGACTAAAATCCCATGCCACAGCATGTCTCATGTTTGTAGACCAGGACTTTCCCCCAAAGGACTCACGAAACATGTACATCTCTGCATCTATAGCTGAATGGTTGATGTATGATACGTATGGTTGTGCTAATTTAACCTTTGTCATCTCAATAATTGATAAGGCTTTTTTTGTATCTAAGTGTTTTGTAGTAAAATATTGCAAGGTACAACATATCAGAAATACATCCAAATTTGGATGCTAATTTCAGCATATAACTGAGTGCTTTATATTTCATATAAACTTGTTTGTTTAAAGCTGAACTAGTATTTATATTGAACGGTACAAAAGCAGCTAAAAAGTTGTGTGATGTAAAAGCAGTGTTCTGGAGTATAGAGACCGTAAACCTCTGTAACATGAGAATCTGATAATGGGTCAGGGGTAACATAATCAACTTTTCTACTACAGTGAGAAACCTCATACATTGATGGAGGTCTGGTGTTGGTAGATCATTGTGGCACAGCTCATTAAATAGATCTACTTCAAGCAAAACCTTGGATATCAGCGTGTATCCCTCTGTATCAACAGGTTGTCTTGGGTTTTGAAGGACACTGATAAGACTAGATCTGACAGATTGACAATGAAGCAGTGATGCTAATCCCTTCTCATACAATTCATGAAGCCTAATGAATAATTTCTTTTGTGCTTCCCCGTGGATATTACTCAGAAACATGTTGTTTTCTGGAATAAAGAAGTTTGGACATACCCCCTCGTACACCCATTTAAGGATAAGTTTAAAGCAGACCCAGAAACACTCCAGGAGATTTTGTAGATACCAGTGAAGATTTGTGTTCTGTTGAATAGCCCAGAAAATTGCTGTTTTCATGTGATATGAACACAGTAATTTATCCTCATCACTTAATCCATTATTAATAGACTCTTTCAAGAACAATTTAAGCAATCCATAGGTCAGGAATTGGCAATGGTTCATTGAGTATACAAGTTTTTGTTCTGCCAAAGAGAAGGAAATTCTCCATTCTTTGTCTGCGTGTTTCCCTAGTTTGTGTCCTATTGCTACAAAGTGGCATCCATTTCTGACTATGTCATCAGCAATATAAGACGGAGGACATGAGTGACATCTGTCGATCCATTCGGAGGCAGTAGGGGGCCAAATTTCACAGACAATACATTGGGCTGTGTCAATTTCTTCTCCCCCTAAAACACCACTACCACATGGACCATGTTCTTTAGAATTAGGCAAAGTTTCTGAACATGTAATTTGTCTGTATTTGGAACTGGATATATAAAGTTTGTTTTTTTCTCGCAGACATGCCTTTTTGAAACTTTGTCTATGTGTTGGTGTCAATAATTCAAGTAAAGCAGATCCTGGTGGGCTATCAGAATAGTCACAGAGAATCAGTATTTTTCTACTTAAGTCATAATTCTGGGCCTGAATTATGTCCCATATAACTGTGTGATCTTTTGGCCAAAACATTAGGTCCATATCTGATCCCTTTAGCCTGAATCCCACTCTCATACTCCCACTCATCATTATCCTGTCTTCATCTTTGGTCAGTATCGCTTGATCAGTAATAATTTCCCTGAAGTCTGCTATTTCTCTCCTCATAATCACCATCTCTAAGGACCCCAGTATGTAACTCAGTTGCATAAACACAGACTCTGATAAATACTGCATACCCAAGTTCCTGTACAAATAAGATACATATATGTAAAAATATGAAAAACAAACTGTGTTTGGCGAAGTTACAGCTTCTTTTAAAAATATTAAACATCAGAGTCAAGAGTTGAAAAAAGGACTTGTCTGTCATGTATAATACATGTATATATGTTTGTATTTATCAAAAATATGAAAAGAGAACACAAAAATCCACAGTTAAACTTTAGCGCTAATGATTTTACATCCGACGTAATGAAATATCATTACTTTATTATTATTAAGGTCAAGATCTAGTAAATGAAAGATGCCTACACATTCCTCAAATTTGAGAAATAAATTTCTTTAATGATGCCTTATAAATTTAGCGTGGTCAAATAAGGTGTTTCGGGGCATAATTTGTAGGCAAACAAGATGAAAAATCATAATTTAAACTGTCATTTTCAATGAAAAATTAAGAAATCCCGTTATGAATATTGGACTTTTTTCCATATCAGACAAAGAAAATGTATCCCAATAGCCTACAGTCTCTCAGAAAACGGTAATTTGTATGTTCTTTGCCTCCTCTTTAAAATCATGCCAAATTTAATATAGTGATCCAGACTACTTTTCGTGTTATCTAAAATTGAATTCCCTGAAAATACTTTATTTTCTACATAATTCTATTAGAGCCGTAAAGTACGGGAAAAAGAGAGTAGAAAGTGATTATGACGTCATAATAGATTTAGCATGAAAAAGTTAGTCTAAAGACATTTACTAGATCTTGACCTTAAATGCAAGTTTTATTGAGTTATGTAAGATTTCAGGGTAAAAATAACAGGTCAATCATTATGCTGATAGTACAACAACCTCACTAGTTATATAATAGTGATTTTTTAATGTTAAAAGAAATTTGCAGTAGTTTATATTGATTAAATATCTTTACATGTATGTAGAGAATTAATTTGTTACTTACAGCCATTTGTAGGAAGTCATTTTGATATTATAGCTCTGTCACGTGAAAGACGATAATTATAATGGAAAATCCCTACTGCACTTTCAGTTTGGAGTAAAACTGTTTGTGAAATCAGTAATATCTATAATGGGTATTTGTTTGAAAATTCTTGCACTTGTATGTTCTTGCCATAAGTACAGTAATTATGATTTGTTAACGCAGAACCTTTTACTTCAAAATTATTCATTAAAATACAATTTAGTTTAATTCAACAATGTTAATATTTTAATATTCAACGAAAACAACTACTCCAAAGGCTACAAAGAAGCAAGTTTTATGAGGGACTGTTTCTAGTGGTGGAAGGATATTTAACAGATAATTCTGCCAATCTTCACATTTTTAAATTGAATATCCTGGAACTTTAGCCTCACATACTTTTACTCGGAGAATATTTTCCGTTATGATTTTGCTAGGAATATTTAATATAGGTCTTCACTGATATTTTTAGAAGTTTTACACCTTCCTTCAACAGCTAGACTCTGCCAAAAAAATGAAGATATGTCAAATAAGTCAAGATAAAATTTACATCATTTTTCGCTTGAAAATCACATATTTTGACCAATATATTTCAAAATCACAGACCCCAACATTTTCTTTCATTATTTTTAGTACTGGAAACTTATGACTGATCAGCATCTAAGTTGTAAAAAGCTTGATTTAAGAAAATGTTTTATTGCCTATTTATTTATTTAGTAACCCAAAAATGTTACTTTTTGGTACAATAATTTACTTGCATTAATTTGCAAGTTTTGTTCGATGATAAATATTATTCAAACTATTTTACATAAAATAAATTTGTATTTATTGCCTTGGTTACATCTGGTAAAATATGATAACGGTTAAAGTAATTTACCAAAGAGTTAGAGTTTAAGTGCAAAAAGGTCAACTTAATTGTACTGTAGATCAGTAGGATGCAGACTGACCCCCTATTTTTTCTGTGATTTTGGGTCAAAGAATATGAGTACTTATCTAAAATATACTTCTAAAAAAACGTTGATTTAACATTCACGCCTTAATTTTATTAAGGAATCGATAAACATCGAAGCTCATATGCATGAACTTGGTATACCGATACTGGTGATCAAAGCATATGATTATAAAGGTCAATTTAATCAAAACTTCAGTATCTCCATCATCGAATTCTCAAATATCAAGGACAGGTGAAATTAGTTTGGGAGTTCAACTTCAGAGTATTTTTGTGTACAATCAGAATGTTTTTAACACAACAATTTTGCAATGTAAGTAAATTTACTGGTTCCAATTTTAGGTCAACTCAGGTGACTAATTGCCATACGTTTTCGTCCGTCGTATTGCGTTGTGCGTAGTGAATATATAGTGAACATTTGAACATGTTCAGCTTCTTCTCTGAAATTATCCAACTAATTTCAACAAAATTTGGCATAACGCATTGATGGGTAAAGGGAAATAAAAATTGTGAATTTCAAGATCATCGCCTCCCTGGGGCTTGAAGGGTGGGACCAACACCTTTAAAATTAATGCAATCTTTAAAATTCCTCTTCTTTACTGCTGGACATCAAGCAGTCAAACTGTTTGCACGGTTGTACTCAGCATTGAGTCATCTACCAAAATTGTGAAATCTAGGCTCTGGAATCAGGGTTTTCTAGTGCTAGGGCGGGGCTGAACAGATTATATAGTGAAATTGCATTAATTTTTTGAAAATCTTCTTCTCTGCTCCTGGGCATTAAATAAACCAAATAAGCACATAGTTATTTTGAATAGACTGCCTCTTCCAAAATTTTGAATCTAATGCCGCAGGATCAGTAGTTTAGAGGTGTTAGTACGGGGCTATATAGATTATATACTTAGTGAAATTGCATTATTTCTTTCCATATCTTCTTCTTTATTTACTCCTGAGTAGTTGATAAGCAAACCAAAAACATAATTATGTTGAATAAGGCTGTCTCTTCCAACATTGTGAATTTCATGGTCCCAGGGTCAGGGGTTCTGGTGTAAGGGCAGGTGTCTATTAATTCTATAGTGAAAATGGATAAATTCTTTGAAAATCTTCTTCTCTGGTCCTGGGTATTAAACGTGAATAAGAGTGCCTCTTTCAAAATTTTGAATTTCGTGGCCCTGGGGTCAGGGGTTCTGCATTGTGTATGGGCAGGTCTCTATTAATTCTATGGTGAAAATACTTTAATTCTTTAAAAATCTTCTCTTCTCCTGAGTATTAAAACAATGAGCTATGTACATAGTTATGATGAGGAAGGATGTATCGTCCAGTTTTGTGAATTTCGGGGCCCCAGGATCAGAGGTTTTGATGTTAGGGCTGGGCACTTATGATTACATAATATAAATGTATGATTTTTTCGAAAACTTTTTTCTTTTGCTCCTGGGTATTATACCAATGTTCTAAGTACATATTAATGATGATGAAAGACGCCTCTTCTAAAATGGTTAATTCTCAGAGCAAAGAGAAGAAAAAGTAGGAGAAAAGCCTAAAACTGTCTATTTTTGAAGAGAATCTCGTTCCTACGAAAATATTCACATTTTACATTGAATTTTATTTTACCAAAAAATCATGATACAATGTTTCTTAAAATATTTTTCTGTAAAAGGAGAATTATAGGCAAAAAACTGTCCATTCTGTGAGAAAAAGAACTAATCGAGGATGACTGTACATTGAGAATGTAAACTGTGTATATAAAGCATTATTAACCTCTAAAGGCTTATTTATATTTTCATCTAGAGGTTCACTTAGGACATATGAAAATGAATTCGATGAAATGTGAAGTGAAGTCCATTTCAACAATATACTCAGTGAATTATGAACAGAGCCAACATGGACCTGAAAACAGAGGTGCCATAAAGTTATCCACTACCTACCAGTCACATCTGTCCCTTCACATCATCGAAATTATCAGATAAAAAAAACAGCTAACATTTTAACAGAGTCTCACATATAAAAGTTGGACATAATGGGACTGGGCGAAGTAAGGTGGACAGGCTTTGGAGAACTAAAGGCAAACTCTGGAGAGACCATCATATACTCTGGGGCTGAAGAGCATCACAGAGGTGTAGGACTTAGCAGAAAAAAACGAGAAAAGCTTGATGGAATGGAACCCTGTTAATGACAACATCATCAGCGCACGCTCCCCCCTCCCCACTTTGCTTATCTAACATGAATACAGCCCAACGATGCAGACAAAGCGGATAAGGACATCCATGAACTTCTACAGAAGAGAGATTGCAAAGGAGATTCAAATGCTAAAGTAGAAAGTCGAATGAAGTATGGGAGAGTCATGGGACAAGAGGGTATAGGGACTTTCAGTGAAAACGGCATGAGGTAAGCCGAAATGTGTGCTCTTAATCATCTGCGGAGCCCTCTTTATGCACATTGACATACATAATCTTACATGGAAGTCACCTAATGAAAGAGATAGGACCATATTGACCATGTAATGGTGAATGGTAGATACAGGAAGTTTGCATGTGATGTAAAGGGTTATGCGTGGTCCAGATTCCAATTCAGATCACCATCTAGTACTAGCTAAAGTAAAGATGAAGCTCTGCAGAAACTTAAAGCCAAAAGAAAGCAACAGGAAGAAATATGATGTAAACAAGCTGCAAGATTCCAAGAATTAGCAAAGAATTCCAGCTTGAATTAAGACAAAGGTTTCAACAACTGGTTAATGAGGAATTCACAATCAATGAAAAATTGATTTTTGTGAAAAAAGTATATAATGATAAAGCATAAAAGATCTTGGTCCAAAAAAAATGATACATACAGAGCCATAGATGAAAGAAGAAAACTAATGGAAGAAATGGGAAGTAGAATTCGGAGAGTACAAAGAAAATTAAAAGAAGGTAATATAAGACCAAAGACAAAGACGTGAAAAGAAAAGCAAGAGCTTATAAAACGAAAAATCTGGAAGATTTAGCTAACCAAGCAGAGAATGCAGCAAATACAAACCGAATGAGCAAAGTTTACCAATTGACCAAGCAGCTTTTTTTGGGGGGAGGGGGGGACAGGACACATTGCACAAGGTCCAAGAATGTGGGACTAATCATTGAGGATGAAGAGATGGAAAGAGCATTTTGAAGAGGTCCTTAATGTCCCAACAGAAACAACAGAATTACCCATAAGATACACCTTTCAAGAGAATAAAATTGATGAAATTGACACAAAACCAATGAGAGGAGGGAGAAGGTTAAAAGGGCAATCCAAAAATGAAGAATAGAAAGAGTCACGACATAGATAACATCGTTCGCCTGCGGAGCTACTAAAGAAGAACGTATCATATTCAGGATCAGAGCTTTCAAATCTATTCAACGGAATCATCAGTGAGCAGGATATACAAACAGACTGGAAGAGCTCGTTGTCAAAATACTCTAGAAAGGAGATCTGACAATATGTGAAAACCATAGAGGAATATCACTACTATCATTGCCATCTAAAGTATTTTGCAGAATAGTGATTGACAGAATTAGAGATGGACTAGAAGACAGATTACGACCAGAGTAAGCTGCATATTAAAGAGGAAGAGGGACATAAGAACAGATTTACATTCTAAGAAATATTTTAGAACAATCTATAGAGTGACGAGCACCACTGCATGTACATAAGTTTCATAGACTTTAAAAACTTTGACAGCATAAAACAGAAACTGTGGGACGTACTAATGCAGTATTGAACTCCTGGTGTATATGTGGATATCATCAAGAAATTATACGATGGAAGTTCTAGTTTTGTCATAGATAATGGAATACAACAGACTGATTTAGAGTACAGACAGGAGTGTAGTGAGATGTGTTTTGTCTGGGCTCCTAGCTGTTCATCATTGTGAAAGACTGGATAACGAGGAATAACAATAATAAGAAGAGATGCAAACTTTGGAAATTTACTGTCCACATTAGACGACCTGGATTATGCAGACGACCTAGTTTGCACTCATTTCCAGCAAACACAGCAACATGCTAGAAAAGACCAAGAGATTACATGATTTTGTGGAATATACAGGCCTAACAATTAATGTTGACAAAACAAAAAGCATAAGAACTAGGAGACTTATTGTTCACAGAACAATAAGAGGTCTTTCCACCTTCTTCGAATTTTAAATTTGTTTTATACCTGACTCCTAAAAATTAAATTCCATGAAAAAGAAACCAAAACTCTCTTAAAGCATAGAAAAAATGAAAAAAAAAATGAATGACCTTGACCTTTGACCTTGAAAAAATATTCAAGGTCAAAGGTCAAGGGTCACATTGCAGTTGCCCCCATGCATGTATGACTTATAGTTTTCAAGTTATAAGGTTTAATAGTAAGTACAAAGAACTTAAAGGGCAATAACTCATATAAAGGGTTATCAGATCCATTTGCACTTATACAGTGAAGTATGGCCTAAAGACCCTTAAGATATTAGTGAAAGTTTGGTGTCTCTACAGTCTACGGTTTCAGAGAAGTAGCGATAACAAGGTTTTTCGCACAAGGGGCAATAACTTTTAAAAGGGTTAATATTAGGGGACAAGAGTGAAATCTTTTAAACAGTTTGAAGAGTACATATTAATGATGCATAGACATTAAGTATATGTTCAAAGACAAAAGAGATATAAAAAGAGCTAAATTTCTCAGTTTTGGAATGACCTTGACCTTTGACCTTTCCATAAATTTCAAGACCAAAGGTCAATGGATCTTATGAAGTTGGTCCCATGTCTCTACATTTTCTCGTTTTGAAAATTTTTAATGATTTGTAAAATTCTAAAACTTCCAGGGGCAATAACTTATTGAAGGGGTCAATGAATACTTTGGCAATGAATCAATGAAGTGTCTACTAAATTAGTCGAAGACATAAGTGAAGGTTTCATACCTCTACGGTTTACGGTTTCAGAGGAGTAGCGATAACAAGCATTTCTTGCGAAAGGGGCAATAACTTCGAAAGGGGTTAAGGTTCATTTACGCAGGGTGAACTGCAAAAATCTTTTACGGAGTACATTATTATGGACTATAAATCTTTTCGATATATCTTGAAACTCAAAATCACACGGCGGAAAAATAATAATAATGGAAAAGAAGAAACAGAAGGAAATCAATAGGTCTTTCAACAGAAAGGTGGAAAGACCTAATAAATGGAAAGAAGAAGGATGCCATCAGGTTAAATGATAAAGAAATAGAAGAAGTCGAAACATTTCTCTACCTGCGTGCCTCAATGGACAAGACCGGAGGAAATGAGGTAGATATTGAAAGAAGGCTAGGCTTAGCAAGAACCGCCTTTGCATCCCTTACCTATGTATGGACGTCAGCACAATACACCACAAAGACCAAACTTAAGATCTTCAACACTAACGTTCTATCTGTGTTGCTGTATAGTGCTGAACTATGGAGGATTCTTAAAATACACTGGCGGGGCCAACAACAATATGAAAGAACAAGTTTCATACCTCTATCAAGCACTAATCAAAAGAAAAAAATGGAGATGGACAGGCCACATCCTCCGAAGGATGATGTGGCCTAACTCACATGTGAATCACATCCTCTCTTATTGGTGTTGTGTCAATTTCACGTATTCACACGTGAATAACTCACACGTTAGAATATCTCTTACATGGGCCCCTTTTGAGGGAAAGAGAAAGAGACGGTCAAAGAACATCTGGCGACGCTCTGAACATTGAGAGAGGAAGAGGAGAGCTGGGTTGGAACAGTTGGAAGTAGGGGCAAGTTGTTTTCAGTGACCTCCGTAAATGGCATGCGTTGTTGAACGGCCTAATGCGTCCACCGGGACACAGAGAGAATAAGTAAGTAAGTATACTGTTCATTATGTGCAGATACCCTTTGGGCGTGGCCATTATGACAACTCAGGAGCTAAGTTCCCTCGTGTCATTATGACCACGCCCATCGGGTATCTGCACATAACCAACAGTATGATATGGGGTAACTACTACATATATCAAACTTGACTCTGAGCAGACCTGTGCTTGCTGTTTACAAAAGCTTTATAAAAGTGTGTGAACATTCATGAACACCAAAGGACCTCAACTTTAACATACAGCTTCGTGTGCTGCGTAGATCTATTATTTGGATTTTTTAAATGATGACTCAAATAATAAAGACATTTCATTTTTAAGGCTTTTGATGAATGTTTGAAAATTGACAAGTGACCAGGGACCACAGATTAGCCTTATTGAGACTCATCCCTTTAAATTTCAATCTTCTCATGAAAGGCAGATATATACTTTATTTTTCAAAAACTTTCAACTTGCAACGCTATGGTTTCAGACATCAAGACTTGTAACAATTTCGTCCTTATTTGCAAGGTTCATTATTATAACTGTATTTTAGGGGGAGGAAATCGGTTGAATCGGGATATCAAACTTTAAAATTCCATTTTAGATATTAAAACTTTTAACATTCTAGTCAGCCAAGGTAAGATTTGTTGTTAAAAGTAGGCAATAAATGCTGCTTATACCAGAAAAGGAGGATGATAATGACCTGGTGTCAGGAGGAGAATTATATTAAGTGTGTACGATATACTTATCTCTAATAAGAAATTCATTTCCTAGTAGCATTATTGTTAGCCTTGTGTTTCTTTATTAATGTGTTCTATCAATCATGGTACTATATAGATACAATGTGTGTATACATTGTAAATACCGGTATCCACTCTGTTCATTGTATTGTAACCTTGACCTGTTGTATAGAGAGGGTATTTATAGGCTTTAAGCCTGTTGCCAAATCTATTCATGCTGAATAGATATTGTTTAAATCAATTATAGTACTAGTATTACCTGATTTATTATCATTCACAAACATAATTAACAAATAACAATTTAAATAAAACGACAAACTTAAAAAAAACATGATATGGATTTATTTATAATTTTGCGTGCACAAGGGAATAAAAACATCTTCCCACATCTTTTAAACTGATGATTAACAGTACATTTAAAAACTACATAAAAAACTTTTAGATAAAAATAATTGATATTTTAAACATAAAGATAAATCCATAATCCAATATTCAATTAACTAACAATTCAAGGAAAGGGGATGGAACATTTTTTTTTTCTTTTTCATTCTGGTCAAACAATAATTTTAATTCCTGAACTCTGGAAAAAAGCACATTTTATATATTATTGCGATATTGGACTTTGCATATACGTTCCATGTAGTGTTGGCAAATCGGATGATTTTTATTAACCGGTTACTCGCTTAATCTTCCGATCGAGTACCCGGTTACTCGGATGAATTTTTGTTATAGTTTCCATATTTATTATTAATCTCATCCTTTTACATATCGATAGAAATAAATAATAAATGTTACATATATGAACTTTATTTACAAAAACAAACCCCAAAAACACAATATCTTCGAAGAATTTTAATTTTTAATGTCACTTGAAACGGGGAATTTGATTTTGTTTAAGAAAATAATTTTATCAACACATGAAGAAGATATGTGTCGCGATCGAGGAGAATTAACATGCCCTGTAACACTTTGCAATTACTGGTTATTTTGTTGAGTTTCATGCAAGTCATTGGTTATCGACTTATTTTACAAGCTAAGGTGCACGTGATTTAGCATATTTGTAGTTCCAACCGTATACTTAATTACGTAATTACGTATAAAAAAATGTTTATGGCGGCATCTTGTTTCAGTGTGTTCCTCTGACTAACACGGGTCTAAATGAGGTGATTATAACTCAGGTCTCCAACACGTGTACCCCCTGGCAATTAATGTCATCAATTAAACTAATCAAAACAAATCGATCCTATTTGTGAACCACTAGAGCAAGCCTAACGGTAATTGAATTAGGGAAATGTGTCAATATACATTTACAAATTACATAAAAATACTTTAAACGTATTTACTAAGAAAAACGTATTTTTATCCGAGTAATCGATTAGCAGTTTTACTAACCGATACTCGCATCGTTCGACGGTTAACCGGTTAACCGGGTACTCGTTGCCAACACTAGTTCCATGACTTCTTGTATCATCATCAATGTAGCAGTTTGTATGTTGAAATATCTTTCTTGTAAGAGAGATTGTAAGTAGGAGTACAGAACAGCCTGGAGGTTCCCTGTCACCTGTTGACAGATCCCTAGAATCTGCTGCAATATATATTATTGATATAACTATGTGCACAAACAACTGTTAACTGAAATAAAGTCTGTATACTAATATGATAATTCTGATAAATGTAGCAGTTTCTAGATTGTGAAATTTTTCTTGTTGGAGAGATTGTTGGTAGGAGTGCAGAGCAGCTTCGTGGTTCCCTGTCATCTGTTGACAGATCCCTAGAATCTGCCACGATATGTCTCTTTTATACTCTTCAATATACACCCCCTGATCATGGTGAACCGGGTTCTGTAGGTCATTAAGAGCTGTTTGTGCTCTCACTGGGTCTACATGTCTGTAACAAAAGATCTCTAACATGTGTAACAGAACAAAGAGTGGGATACATAGTATAGAGGATCCACGCTGTAACCCAGACTGTTGTTCTGGCACTAATTCATTGATGTAACAGATTGTATTTTCAAGAATAAAATCCCATGCTACAGCTTGTCTCATCTTTGTAGACCAGGACTGTTCCCCTATGGACTTACTGTACATGTACCATGGTAATGCACCTGTATAATGAAAACTATTGACATACATTACGTATGGCTGTGCTAATTTGGCCTTTGTCATTTCTAGAACTAATATAGCTTCTTTGTATCTAAGTGCCTTGTAGTAAAACATTGCAATAAACAACATATGAGAAATACACCCATATTTGGTTGCTAATTTCACCATATAACTAGATACTTTGTTAGCAATATAAACCTGCTTGTTTACAACTGAGCTAGTATTTGCCTTGAATGATGCAAAAAATGTCAAAAGGTTGTATGACATAAAAGCAGTGCTCTGGAATGCAGAAACTGTTATCTTCTGTAATAGGAGAACTTGGTACAGAGTTGGAGGTAAAATTATCAACTTTTCTGCTGCACTAAGGAAATTCATACATCGGAGTAGATCTGGTGTCGGTATATTATTTAAATTCAACTCATTAAATAAAGATTTTTCAAACAAAACCCTACGTTTAACTGTACCAACATATGGTCTGGGATTTTGTAGGACACTTATAACACTTGACCTGATAGTTGGACAATGAAAAAGCGATACTAAACCCTTCTCATACAATTCATGAAGCCTAATGAATAAATTCTTTTGTGCTTCACCATGAATATTATTCAGAAACATGTTGTTTTCTGGAATAAAAAAGTTGGGACAGACCCCCTCATACACCCATTTAAGGATAAGTTTGAAACAGACCCAGAAACAATGAAGAAGATTCTGAGAACACCATTGAGGTGTTATGTTTTGTTGAATTATCCAGAAAACTGCTGTCTTCAAGTGATAGGAACAAAGCAATTTATCCTTATCACTTAATCCATTGATAATGCATTCTTTTAAGAACAATTTAAGCAGACCATATGTTAAGAATTGGCAATGGTTCATTGAATATACAAGTTTTTGTTCTGCTAAAGAGAAGGAAATTCTCCATTCTTTGTCCGTGTGTTTTCCTAGCTTGTGTCCTATTGCTACAAAGTGACATCCATTTCTGACTATGTCATCTACAATATAAGACGGGGGCCATGAGTGACATCTGTCTATCCATTTGGAGGCAGTAGGGGGCCAAAAATCACAGACAAAACATTGAGCAATGTCAAACTCTTCTCCCCCTAAAACACCGCTACCACATGGACCATGTTCCTTAGAATTCGGCAAACCTGATGAACATATCTTTCTATATTTGGAACTGGATATATAGAGTCTGCTATTTATTCTCATACATGCATTCTTTACACTTTTCCTGTATGTTGGTGTTAATAATTCAAGTAAAGCAAATCCTGGTGGGCTATCAGAACAATCACAGAGAATCAAAGTTTTTCTACTTAAGTCATATTTCTGAGCCTGATTCAAGTCCCATATTACCATATGGTCATTTGGCCAGTACATCAAGTCGACATCTGACCCCTTTATTCTGAATCCTTCTCTGTAACTCCCACTGGTCATTTCCATATCCATGTCTTCTTCTCTTGTTTTCATTATTACTTGATTTATCATCATTTCCCTGAAGTCCATCATCTCTCTCCTCATGTTCACGTCCTGTGAGGACCCAACTTCGTAACACAGCCCCACAAACACAGACTCTGACAGATGATGTATACGCAAGTCCCTGGACAAAATGTAAGTAAAATTTAGTATGTGTGAAAATATTTTCCCTATATAACATGATTTGCTTTAATGTTTAACTTTAAATAAAAACCGTGAGTAAATTTACTTTACTTTACTTTTACTTGGATTCAGGGATATTTTTATGAGTATTTTCAATTACTTAACTGTTAATTTTATGAGCCTGAGGATCGGACTACCTTAATTATGTAAGTTTTGCCATGAAGAAAAATGTGCTTGTCTGAATTGATTAAATAAAGATAATAAAAGTTACTTACGGCCATTTGTAGGAAGTCATTTGACTATTATAATTCCTGTCACTTCAAAGACTATAATTAGAAGTGGAAAATTCATACTTTCAGTTTCACAGAAAAAAATAGAAATGGAAAATTCCTGTTGTAATTTTCGGTTTATAAATAAAATAAATGTGTATGAAATCAAAAATTCTTTCTTTTTTTTTTTTTTGCTATTTTGTATGAAATATTAGATGTCTTGCACTTATACGATTTTTTTCGCCATGGGTGCATGCAGTAGTTATGTGTTAAAACACATCTTAGACATAGTTAAATCTAATTAATTAATTATTTATCCCTCCTTTCAAAGTACATTTTTCTCAGAAAGCCTACTGTAAACTTCATACAATTAACATAACTTAAACTATGCTTCAAGGTGGTCATTGGGACAGGTTATGGTTATCAAAGAAGTGTATTTTTTTTTTTAGAAATAGAGAAACGTGGATAGTTCAAAGTGATTTGAAAATCCCCACCAACTTATTTGTTTTTAAATCATACAATACTCTCAGAATCTTGAATCCTCTGGTGTCTCCAAGTTTTTGGCTCACCTGAGCTGAAAGGCCAAAGTTACTCAGGTAGGCATTGTGGCCCATGGGCCTCTTGTTTTTGGTCAAATTCTTGATAATGAGTTATAATAGTAATTGTAGTGAAGAAAACTTAAATGATTGTTCCAGCCATTTTTTAAAACAAAAGAACAAAGAAAGTTACATTTGTCCGAGTTCCACAGGCAGTATATGTTTTTCTAAAAATCACTTAATTTACAATATTCCTGCATGTGACCTTAAAGACTTGGAAAATAATAAAGTTCACTTATGACCTTTTTTCAGACCCTGCAAGTGAATATCTGAAAAATCAAAACAAATCAGTTTTTATGCCCCGCCATAAATATTGTCGGGGCATACTAGTATAGTGTTTGTAATGTCCTTCTTCCGTCCTTCTGTCAATCCGTCACACTTTGCGTTTAGCTCTGTTAAAAGCTCAGTTTCAAAGAAACTATCCAAGATATTTTCATCAAACTTCATATGCTGATATACATTGATGAGACTATGCAACTGCATCAACAATTTTTGACCTTGACCTTTCCTATGACCTTGACCACGCTTTTCTCAAATTAGTGCTAAGCTCAGTTTTTAACATACCGTTCAAGATGGTGATATCAAACTTCACATGTTGATATATACTGATGAAAGCTATTCAACTGCATCACCATTTTGACCTTGACTTTTTCTTTGACCTAACTTATCTTTAATTAGTGTTTAGCACAATTTCAAAGATACCATTCTAGATTTTTTTTTATCAAACATTTTATGTTGATACACATTGATGAGAGATATGCAACTGCATTAACATTTTTTACCTTGGGCTTTCCTTTGACCTTGACCTCACTTTACCTAAATCAGTGTCAAACTTCATATGCTAATACATACTGATGTAAGCAATTCAACTGCATCAACATTTTTTACTTTGATGTTTATTTGACCTCTCCTTTGACCTTGACCTCAGTTATCTTTAATTAGTGTTTAGCTCAGTTTTAAATATACTATTCAAGATATTTTTCTTATTAAATTTCATATGCTGTTACGTACTGATGAGAAGAAGGATATGGAGATAACGAACAGTATTCAATCTCAAAGTCCATAAAACAATGCAAAATAAGAGCAGAGCAAACACGGACCCCCGAAACATCAGAGGTGGGATCAGGTGCCATGGAGGAGTGAGAGCAATTCAACTGCATCAATTTTTTTGACCATGACCTTTTATTTGACTTCACTTTTATTAAATTATGTTTGTCAGTTTTAATAAGAAATCATGTTAGATATTTTTATCAAACTTCATATGTTGATACATATTGATGAGAGATCTGCAACTGCATCAACTTTTTTTACCTTGACCTTTCCTTTGACTTTGACCTCATTTTTCTTAAATCAGTGTCAAACTTTATATGCTGATACATACTGATGTTAGCAATTAAAATGTATTAACATTTTTTACCTTGACTTTTCCTTGCACCTTAACCTAACTTTTATCAAATTGTTTTTAAGTCAGTTTTAAAAGGAACCATTTATATTTTTTCAACTTCATATGCTGAAACATACTGATGAGAGCTTTTCAAATGCATCAACAGTTTTGACCTTGGCATTTCCTTGACCTTATTTTAATGAAATGTCAAACTTCACATGCTGATACATACTGACGTAAGCAATTCAACTGCATCACTATTCAAGATATTCTAATCATTTCATACACTGATACAAATTTTCATGTTGCATAACTAATATACCCTCGGCGGGGCATTCATGTCCTATGGACATTTTTATAGTTTTTTATTCAATTTGACAAAAACCAATGTGGTGCAAATTATACATACAGTAAATAAATACATAATCACAAGCATTTTCTTATATCAAATGCATTACATATAAAGTTACAAATATTTCTTGTAGATTTAACATCTGCTGGATTAAGAATTTCATAAGATATACATGTATTATTAAAAAGTGTACAAAATTCACTCCTTATTTGTTTATAAAGAGGACATACAAATAAAAATTGATGTTAATCTTCAACAATATTTTGAAAATTAATACAATATCTTTCATCTCTTGGTATGACTGGGTTACAATATCTACCAACCTTTATATGTAATTTGTGGGCACTTATTCTCAATCAATTCAAAAAAGAACGAAGATTCTTGGAAATGGAAAAAATTAAGTATGGTTGGATTTCAAGCTTGTTTAGATTTCCTTGACTTATTAACTGGCTGTAGAATGATAATTTGCCATTATCTTTTTTGATATTCATTATATCCTTAAAGTCATATATGGCGTATTTTTTATAAGTTCAGACTAACTAAGATTTAAAAGATCTTTTTATTTGTTTTGTTTCTTTATATAAAGATAGGAAATTTCTGTAAATTACACAATTTAAATCAATCGCGTTTCATAGATATCACAGATTTAAATCAATAACCGATTTATTTCCGACTCGGATAAAAATATGACACAGTTTAAAGTCAATTTAACTATAGACTTGTGGTGATATTTAAGTTCAAAATTTTAATTCGGTGGTAAGTAACAAATATCTGGTAAATCTACAATTAATCTTGTATTTTTATATTTTGACTCATAAAAACTATATTCACAAAACCTTTTAAAATTATTTTCAAAATCATTTATTGATAATGTACTAGCATTTGAACCAATGACCTCATCAAGTATAGTTTGTATACAGTTTTGCCATGACCTTTTATGCTTAAGTTGAAATTATGTTTAGTTTTATTGGACCATAGATCACCTAATATTAATTAAAAATGATGTAATTTTCTCTCTAATATGATGACTCGAATAGCGTCATTTTCCTAAAATTCTAAAGAAAGTAATAAAAAGGCTAAAACTTTAAGCTGTTTTCAATATTTTGCATGACCCCCAAACTCAGATCTATATGTTTAGTTATATATATTTTTGATTGGGGTCACATTTTAATTATAAGCTTAATTTAATATACTCAAAATTCATCCATTTCCTTCAAAATTTAAGATTATTGCTAATTCACAAAGCCTATTTTACAATACATGAACTCTCAAAGGAAACATTTTTAATGGAAATTAGAGCACAATGTCCTTTCTTTATACTGATGTTTAAAATGAAGCATTGTGACTTCGTCAGTAAATAGGTATAGGGACATGTTCATTTTGTTGAGTTAGTGAACTTAGCTCTTTCTGTTAAAGAAAAGCCTCCTTGATTTATTATGTAAATCTGTCATTTAGGACTTTGTGTGACACCAACAGTGTGGGAAAGATAAACATGGAACAGTTTGCCCTGGCCATGTACCTCGTACAACAGAAACTAAAGGGGGTCGATCCTCCAGCCACCCTCACCCCAGAGATGATGCCCCCCTCCATGCGACCCAAGGGTAGTGCCGACACCACAGTTTGGTGTTACGGTGAGTATAGGTTTCGTTATTTACATTTAAATTAATGGTTTTTTTTTAATTTTGGTGAATAGTGATTGAAAGAATTAGAGATAACCTAGAGGACAGATTTAGACCAGAGCAAGCTGCATATCGAAGGAGAAGGGGGACATCAGAACACATTCTGAGAAATATTTTAGAACAATCTATAGAGTGGCAAGCACCATTGTACATAAGTTTCATAGACTTTTAAAAGGCATTTGACTACGATACTAAGGCAATGTGGAATTCCTGGTGTATATGTGGACATCGTCAAGAAATTATACAATGAAAGTTCTAGCTGTATCATAGACAATGAAAGAACAACAGCCTGGTTCAAATCACTGACAGGAGTGTGACAAGGTTGTGTTATGTCTGGGTTCCTGTTCATCATTGTGGTAGACTGGATAATGAGAAATACCAACATTAAGAAGAGAGGCATACGTTGGAATTTTCTTTCCATAGCTAATGCAGAAAAAAATAACGTTTTTTGTTTTTTTTTTTTTGCAACAGCTGCTTCCGTTAATTCAAGTAATAACAAACAAAGAAAGCATTTTATTGTTTGAATAAATATTGTTCATGTATAAAAAGAATGTCATTGCATCCATTATATTGACACTAAACGAGATTAGTGATACCTCATCATTTCAATCTAAGGTCAGGAGTTTGCATATAGCTCTCCCTCCTACCCATGGCTTTTTGAACATAAAAAGTGGTGTAATCTTGAATATTTCTAATGTCTCTCACTAATAAATTATCCATATATGAAGCCGGTTTGTCAAATTTCGTGGTGTCTTTAAGTGGAGTATTTCGAGGTCAATGTGATACTCAGTATATCGAATCATGAAAACGAACAGCTGTCGATCTCGAAATTCCATAAACAGTACAAACATGTAAATAGAGCACAAGAGAGGGGCCTTTAGAGGTGGGATCAGGTTCCAAGCTAGGAGGAGTAAGCAATCTCCAATATCACCCCCTCTGTAAACCCTTTGCATAGATCAGGTAGATGGAGCATATCGTAGACAGGGGTAAAGAAGGACAGAATATTGAACAAGTTGGAGGTTCATGTTTAAAATGTTCC